CAGGAGAAGAAAATGCATCAGCCCTGGTTCTGTCTCCAGACCCCGACCCCGCGCGCCCTGCCCGCCTCCTGGCCCAGCTCCCAAAACAGGCCGCAGCGCCTGCCCCGAGGGCCTGGGCTTTGCTCTTTAGCTGCAGCCAGAGGCACAGGCGGAGTCCTGGAGCCAGCGCTGAGCGGACTTGATGTCAAACGACAAGGCGCTGCCCCTCCGCCCCGCACCTCCGCGTCCTGGCCCTGCCTTGGCCTGCGCTCCTATGGCCCCGCAAGGAGGAGCCAAGGCCGCCGTCACCTAGGAGGTCTGGGCGTCTCAGGCCTTGAGTTCTGGATGCAGCGACGGACTCTAACATGGAACATTTTCCTCCAACTACAGCTACTGGCCTTGCAGTGGGACCAGCGCCGCGGGCCCTGCGAGCCCGTCCCAGGACTCGGGGCCAGGCTGGCCTGCGGGGATGCCCACACACCCCTGCCCAGCTGCCCAGCACCTTTCCCCTGAACAGACGCGTGGTACTTGTTGAAGAGACTTTATTATGGCCGATCCATTCTGTCTAACTGGGGGCACTGGGCGACATGACAGCTCAGAAGCAGAGAAGCTGGAGACTAGCCCCCCTTCCTGTGGGGGCCAGGGGCCCCTGCTGACAGCTGGGGGGGCCCTAGAGGGCTCTGGGGGCACACGCTAGTCATCCATAGGCCCCTGCGGGAGTGGGGGGCAAAGGGACCTGACATCCAGGCTGGGGCTCACCCCTACCTCCCACCCCAGGCCCGGCCGTGGGGAAGGAGGGTGGAGCCCGAGGGGTGAGCACAGGTGAGGACAGAAAGGCGGGCTGGGGGCAGGGGCACTACATGGAGGAGGGGAGAGCAGAGGAGGGGACAGGACGCTTGTCAGATGGAGGCGGTGGTCTCGGGGAACGTAGTGTTACTCTGGGCAGCGCGCTGGCCTGGTCAGTCGAAGGAGATGAGCTGGGCTTCACTGCCCTGCACCTGCAGCCCCTGTGCGGGCGGCTGCTGGGCCACGGGCGGAGGCTGCTGGGGGGGGCCGCCAGCAGGTGCCATCTGGGGGACGAGAGGCCATTGGTGCTCCTCCCCAGGCCCAGCTCCCCCTCTACTGGCTGCTCTAGAACACCCCACCCCAGCCTTGTCCCTGGTCTCCTCCAGCCCAGGGGGCGATCCCCCCCACTTGTCACGGGCTCTGAGCTTCACACCCCAGCTGGGCCCACCCCGGAATCCCGAGAGCGCCACGGAGCTGAGCTTCAAGTCAACCTGGGTTGCTTCCCCCCCACACCCCCCCCCAGGACGCTGCGTGCACCCAGGGTCTGCGGGCCGAGTGGCCTTCCCGCTGGACTCTTCCCAGGACAGCCCCCCACAGATGGCCGGGGCCCAGGTGGTGGCCTGGGAGGGGCTCACCTGCTGGTACATGGGCTGCTGCCCCGAGATGTAGGGCTGCGGCGGGGGCTGCAGAGATGCGTCCTGGCTGGGGAGGGCGGTCATGAGATTCTGTGGAGAATGAAAGGAACCCCGACATTGAGAAAGCAGCCCTGTAACCAGACAAGTGGGGGAGTTTCTGACTTGGAAGACCAGCTGGGGAGCCCAGTCGGGGGGGAGGGGATCAGAAGGACCTGCCTGTCGGATGCCCCGTGTGGTCTCACCTGCATGCTATAGGGCTGGTAGCCCATGGACACCGCCTGGCTCCCCATGTAGCCCACACCGGCAGGCTGCGGGGGCTGGGAGGGCACCGTCTGTGGAGGGAAGGCCTGTGAGGAGTGTGAGGAGCTGGGAGAAGGGCTGGGCGGGCGCCTCACAGGCCTCTGGGGGAGGGGCACAGCCTCACCCTACCTGATAGCCCTGGGTGGGGGTGGGCTGGTAGGAGGAGTAGGCTGGGCTGGCGGCGGGTCCGGCTGGGCCCTGGGGGGCTGTCTGTGCGCCAGGGACCCCTGCTGGGTACATGTAGGTGCTCACCACGCTGGGATCTGGAGGAAGAGGAGTGAGGGGGAGACCCCGGAGTTGGGGAGCATTTCTCTGAGTTTTCCTTTTTTGTTGTGAGACTTGGAACCAAGTTCATGTTTCACCTCCGCACCCAAGGGAAATAAGGACATCAGCACAGTTGGGAGGGGGCCCCCAGCGACGAGTGAAGTCGAATGAACCCAACTGTATTCCAGCCGAGCCAGGGCACTGCACCTCCTGAACCCAGAACCGGGATCGGGACAGCGAGCACCTGTCAGGCCTGGGCTGGATCCTGAAACTCCTTTCCGCATCCCGGGACCCAAGTCAGTCCACATGGGACGGGGTGGGGGTGGGGGTGAAAGGGGAGGAAGCCAGAGCCTCCAGCCAGAAGGTGTCGGAGTGAATGCACGTTAGTGTGCGCAGTAGAGGCGTGTGCGTGTAGAGAGCAAATGTGGAAGAATGTTAACATTTGGAGAATCTCGGAAATTCTTTACACCATTCATTCTCTTAGCTATTCTATAAAACAAGCCAACGTAAAAATAAAACAAAAAAAGTAACGGTCTGGGGCTCATGTTGGCTGGTCGACGCATCCGCCCACCCGGTTACCTGCTCCGGCCCCGGGCACACTGGGGTAGGGGCTGCCGGTGGTCGCGGCCGGCTGGCTCATGTACACGGTGTGCATGGGGGAGCCCTCCACCGAGCCTGCCGGGCTGTAGGTCCCTGGGAAGCTTGTGGGGCCAGAGGGCTGGCATAAAACTCTTTACCTCAACTATAAAGTTGTTTAATTATCTGTCCCCAGCTTACCTCTCCTGCTTTATCTTTAAGTACACAAGTACTTTGCATTTGATCAAATCAAGTCCCATTTTGCCTGCCACTCTCCTTCTCCCAACCAACAAATAAAATTAAAATAAAATAAAAATAGCTTCATCTAGCTTATTTTTACCTCCAAACTCAATTCATATATCACTTCTTACTATAACTTCTACCAACTGTTATCTGCACCCTCTCTTCCAGCCTAGATCTTGCCGGTGCCCGCCACCCGGCCGCCCGGCCGCCCAGCGCACCTGCTTCTTCTGCCGCATGATCTCCAGCTTCTGGGCCAGCTGGATCTGGCGCTGGCGCTCGGCCTCCTCCGCCGCCCGGCGCAGCTTCTC